CCCCCCCCCCCCGCTCCGCGGAGAGCCCGGGGCGGCCGCGGAGGGGAGGGAGGGGAGACCCGGCGGGGCTTGGTGTGGCCTGGAGGGAGACACACACTTCCCGGGCGGGAAGAAGGGGTTAAATGCCCGCGCTGAAACCGACAGAGAGCCCAGCCGAGGGAAAACTACGCCAATATTATAGTCATATAATTATGTAATTAGATTTTATAAATATATATTATAGATAAGGTTCAACCAGGCCAAGTGCACAGTCCGGGTGGGGGCAACCCCCGGTATCAACCCCCCGGTGGGGGATGAAGGGGGTTGAGAGGAGGAGAAGGACTCGGGGTACTGATGGAAGCCCCCCCTGCACCCTGGGCTGCATCTCCCATAGCGTGGTCGGCAGGGCAAAGGGGGTAGGGGGGGATTCTGCCCCTCTGGGGAGACCCCACCTGGAGTACTGTGTCCTTCCTCAGCACAGGAAGGACATGGACCTGTTGGAGCAGGTGCAGAGAGGAGGACATGAAGTTGCTCAGAGGGCTGGAGCTCCTCTGCCCTGAGGACAGGCTGAGAGAGTTGGGGTTGTTCAGCCTGGAGAATCATAGAATCGTCTAGGTTGGAAGGGACCTTAAAGATCATCTAGTCCAACCATCAACCGAACTCTGACAAAAAAAAAATAAATAAGAAATAAGCAATAAAAAAATCACTAAACCATATTCCTGAGGACCATGTCAACCCGTCTTTTGAACACCTCCAGGGACGGTGCCTCAACCACTTCCCTGGGCAGCACATTCCAATGCTGGATAACCCCTCCGTGAAGAAGTTTTTCTTAATATAAACCTAATAAAAATCCTAATCTAAACCTCCCCTGGCGCAACTTGAGGCCATTTCCCCTTGTCCTGTCTCCTGTGACTTGGGAGACAAGACTGACCCCTGCCTCTCTACACCTCCCCTTCAGGTAATTATAGAGCGCGATAAGGTCTCCCCTCAGCCTCCTCTTCTCCAGACTGAACAGCCCCAGCTCCCTCAGCCTCTCCTCATAAGACTTACTCTCCAGACCCCTCACCAGCTTCACTGCCCTTCTCTGGACCCGCTCCAGCACCTCAATGTCTTTTTTTGTGGTGAGGGGCCCAAAACTGGACACAGTACTTGAGGTGAGAAGAAAGAGAAGGCTCCAGGGAGACCTTAGAGCCCCTTCCAGTCCCTAAAGGGGCTACAGGAGAGATGGGGTACAAACTTTTTAGCACGGCCTGTGCCTGCTGCGATCGGACAAGGGATAATGGCTTTAAACTAAAAGAGGTTACATTTAGGCTAGATATAAGGAAGAAGTTTTTCACTATGAGGGTGGTGAGACACTGGCACAGCTTGCCCAGAAAAGTGGTAGATGCCCCATCCCTGGAAACATTCCAGCTCAGGTTGGATGAGGCTCTGAGTAACCTCATCGAGTTGAAGATGTCCCTGCTCATTGAAGGGGGATTGGGCTGAATGGCCTTTAAAGGTTCCTTCCAATCCAAACTCTTCCATGATTATCAACTTTTGCACCCTCGTCTCATCCTTGCTGATTAACGCCATTAAAAACCTGCCTTTCCAGGATGATGGGAACAGGTCCGACCCCGGGGCAGCCCTTTAAGCTTTTACCACAAATGCTATTCGTG